GGCAAATATACGAGATATTGTGTTACAGAAATCGGTTGAAATATTGGGCAAAATACAAGTCTGAAAAAAGAAATCATTGGTTTGATGATGAGTGCGAAAGAGCCACAAATAGAAAGATATCACAGCATATCAAAAACCATCAACGCAGGTTGTACACGGAGAAAAAAAGAAGAGTATAGACGTCTTAGAAGAGAGAAGTGTCAAATGCCATCCTAAAACTCAAAGACAATAAAGCCCTAGGAATCAATGAAATCTGTTCGGAAATATATAAAAATGTGTTTATCAACTTTTTGCAGTAATCTATAAACTAATAGTACTTATATGGCAAAATGAATTGGTACCAGAAAAGTGGCTAAAGAGAATAATATGTCCGTTGCTAGAATGGGTGATCAATTGGGGTGTAAGAACTATAGAGACATTACTCTTAGCATCTTCGTATAAATTCTTCCTCAATGTATTGTTTGAAAGACTTTACAAAAGATATTGTTAGTCAAAATCAATGCGGATTTACTGCTGAAAAGTCAACTACACATCAAATTCAAGCACATAGGCAGATTCTAGAAAAGTCACTAGAATATAACATAGATACACATCATTTCTTCGTCGACTTCAAAGCAGCCTATGACAGTGTGAAAAGAACTGCGTTATATAATGCAATGATAAACTTTGGGGTCCCACCTAAGTTAGGTAACTTTACCTTTAACTAACCGGTTTAAAAATATCGCTAGTGTAAGAATATTTATTAATACTGTAAAAAAGATAATCAAAGGATTTGTTTTAATTCAATTTAGAAATAACTTGTTTCATATTTTCATTACTAGAGCAATTTACTTTCGTATTTATGCTGTACAGTAGAGTGGAACGTTGGTTGACGAGTGTCTAGAGATAATATAAAACAGTCGCAAATTCGTGAAATATACTTTGTTTAGAAACGAGTATTAAACTCAAGCTCAAAAGGTTTATCTAGAATATCTATCTATAAAAAGCTGGATTTTGAGCAGTATTGTAAAGTTGTGATAAAGAACTAGTATTGTTCAAAAATTAATTGTTACGCCTACACCCCCAATGGCTGTGTTTAGCGTTAAAATCACTACCCATTATTAATATTTTTCTTTTAAAACTGTTGTCTAGTCAGGAAATTACTTTATTTCCTTTTGAATAAATCCACGTTTCAGCCAAAAAACAAAGTCTCTGGGATGCATACTACATATTAAAATTTTCCATATATTTACAAAGAAACTTGCTGTTAAAGCAGCAATCCTGGCGCTCAATTAATGCGCTTCTATTACTGTCCTTTTCGTATTTAAATCTTAATTCTTTTAACAAAATGCTAACAATGTTTTGCCAATAAATATCTTTATCCCTTAATTCATTACTTATACTTTGCAGAGTAACATGTTTCTCTAGCAAAAACAGATAAGTACAGAATGAATCCCACTGTTCGAACTATTTCATTCTAAAGAAAATAAATACTATGTTTTTATAAAACTGTAAATTATTTCACATTAAAAAACTCACAAAACTACTTTCATCAATCTTTTTTACGTATTGATTAAAAATTACCTTTTGGTTTATTATCAAATTCTGATTGAAGAAATTGGCACTTACTTGATTGGTACGTGTCGTATAATCTAGATCCCTCAGATAGATCGTTTGTCTTGTTTTTCGGAAGACCTACTTTTGCGTGGCTTTGATATAATATGATTTTCTTTCCTTTTTGTAATTGTACATATCGTCCTTCATGTAATTTTGAATGCAGCAGCTACTCTCTTAAGCCTATATTGCATACCGTAGCTTTAAGGCAACACCGGAATTAATTTCCGTTAGAAAACTAACCTTAAATTCTAAAGTTCTCGGGCGTTGCCAGTCGTGTTTAGAAGATCTTTCAACTTGTTTTCTTGTTTTACACTACTTTTGAACGTAAAATTGGTTACTTTAAGTAATAAGGTTATGTGAGGGAAGTAATTCCTAGTAATTTTATAATTGTAAATATAAAATAAGAATCACAAATCAAGTTGTAGGCAGGTGTTGCTTCGAGGCAATTTTATGCAATTGAGTCATGGAACTATCTGAAGTTAGTGTAAATCGATTCTATGGAAATCGAAGTAGCAGAAATGCAAATGTTATTATAAGAACAGTACCAGATGATTCTGATGACAGCGAATTAGAGGATAATGAAACTGATATTGATGATCCCTCTTATTTACCTTCTGACAATATTGATGCATCTATAAGTAAATATTTTAGACTTATCTCATGAGTGACATTTCTAATATCGCCATTTTTTTGGAAGAAAATACTTACGAGGATGATGATATTGTCTCTGATAAGACATCTGATGATGAGGTGGATGATTCCTCCAAACCTAAAGCCAAAAATATAAAAGTAGCCTACCAATGGAAGGTTTGGAAAACAACAATTGCATTACCTATTCCCAAGTTGAAAGGTAATATGTATACCTATGTCACACAAAATAAAACAACCAATAGAATACTTTACTAAATTTTTTGAAGACGAGTTGATTGGAACTCTAATAGAGCAGTCAAATTTATATAGTGTTCAACAAAGTCCAAATAAGCCACTTGGTGTAACAAAAAATGAAATTGAACAATTTATTGGTATGTCATGCTACGTTCTATATATAAACGACCACGGCAACGAATGTTTTGGAATATAAAAACGAGGATTACCCAAGTAGCCGATGGCTATTATGACAAATTATACAAAATAATACCATTGATCACTAAAGTGAATGAAGTGTGTTCTATAATTCCATTTGAAGAGTTCTTGTCAATAGATGAATAAATTGTTCCTTTCAAAGGAAGAAGCAGTCTAAAACAGTATAACCCAAAAAAACCGAAAAAGTGGGGGTACAAAATTTTTGTTTTATCTGATACTTCTGGTTTGATGTACAAATTCGAAATATATACTGGAAAAGAACCTCATACTCAAACCGATATTGGTTCAGCTGGTAATGTAGTCCTCAGGTTAACAGAGATTATGCCAAAACACCAGAATCACAAATTATACTTTGACAATTGGTTCAATAGTATGAACTTGCAGTTAGAATTAGCAATAAATGGTATACAATGTGTAGGGACTGTAAGGCAAAATAGACTCACTGGTTGTGATTTGATATCGGACAAAGACATAAAAAAACAAGAGCGTGGATCATTTCAGGAACAGAAAACTATTATCAATGGTACTTCCCTGACTGTTGTGAAGTGGTATAACAATAAAGGCGTTACAATTTTAAGCTCATGCGCAGGAGCTTATCCATGTGACAAAAAGAAGAGGTGGGATCGTATATCTAAGCAATATATTGAAATTGACTGTCCATCATCTATCCTTTTATACAATAAGAGTATGGGAGTATCACTATTGACATTATAGTTGTTCAAGCATGGCTTTTATATAGAAGAGACTGCACTACTTTAAAAATACCAAAAAAGGAACAATTACCCCTATTGGAATTCATGGCAGAAATTGCACAAACTCTGTGTATGAAAAATAAAGTAAATGGTTCTAAAAGAGGGCGTCCATCTAGTTCAAATATATACACAGCATATGAGGAAAAGAAAAGGAAATACCATGCAACAGCACCCATTCCATGCGCAGAGGTTAGAAAAGATGGAATGGGTCATTGGCCTATATATTTTGAAAAGAAATGAAGATGCAAATATCCTAATTGTAAAGGAACTCCCAAAGTTCAATGCCAAAAGTGTAAAATATTTCTTTGTTTTACTACAACTTCTAATTTTTTTTTAAGAATTTTCATACCAAATAATAAATTTTTATTTCACTAAATGTAGTTTAATTGCATATATTGTTGCTTACAGTACACATTCTGTATTTTCCAAAAAAGGGGGGCCGACTTAAAAATTAAATTAGCTAACATTTATGTTCATAATTATAGCCATATACAATGAAAAAAAGATTTTTAGTTCGCATATTTAAAATTCATGCAATATAGGGTTAAATAAAGAATTGTTCAATGATATGTATTTTGGTAAATAAACGAAAGACTAAAATAGCTCCAAAGGCACTTTATTATGTTTTTCTAATTCGAAATACTACCAACACATTTAACATAAGTTGTTGTGATTGAGAATTCAAAGGTTTACAAGTCATACTCTTAAAATAAAAACGCTTAAAAATTATTTCATATCACTCCGTTGACGTGGTTACACCCAATGGCACTAACGTCCCAATATAATATTTATTTTGTCAATCTTGCTCTCAATTAATGTTATAAACATACTGGGGCCTGATGATGGTGCAAGTATTGTACCTTGAAACCGGTAGCCCAAAATTTACCGTCATTAAATAATGAAACCTACTTAAGATTGTGAGTATTGACTCATTTCTCATGTACTGGTATTATGGACTCAATTGGCAATCTTTTGATCATTTAAAGATACGACAATAATTTATATAAACACCCTACAAACACTGTCAAAACCAAACTTAAAATTACAAGTAGGTGAATCGATCACCCACTATCGTCCTATTGACAGACGGCTTAAAAAATTAATCGATTTAGTTTCTGTGAGTAGGAAAGAAACGTACCAAATAATTCGTGAATAATGTTAACTGTCGAATTTGTATTCTCTCCTATCGCCACTCATACATTTGTAGGCTAAAAATCAATTTCACAATTTTTATTTCAGATTTTTTTTAAAACGATTTCAGGATTGCAAACTTCAAAGAAAATAAATATAATGTTCATTACAATTAATTGTCTTTTAATCCCAACTAAAAAAATATCTATGTTAAATAGTCTACAAGAAAATCGTTTCAAAAACTGTCACACCTACTAAAAACGTTCTATCTCTAGTCTAGCTCGTTGACTATAAACTGTGGTATTGACACAAATTGAATATTTGCAGCATTACGAGATGTTCGTTTTTGGAAGTTCCAACTCTGCATATAATAATAATAAATATATATGTACATAATTATATTCATTTAAAGCTTAATATAATTTATATTTGTTGCAGTATTGACAAAGTTCCAAAAGTTATGTCACCTACACTAATCATTCACGGGACTGAAGATGAGGTTATAGACTTTTCTCATGGGCTTACAATTTTTGAAAATGTCCTAAAGCCGTTGAGCCACTCTGGGTAGAGGTAAGTAGATTACTATATACCTATTAAAATTGTTTATTCTTAGAGACGACTTGTCAAGTACCATATGGACGTAGTTAAGCAGAAAACGTCCAACCCAAAAAAGTGATTGTTGGGAAATTGAGTTTAAAAGATTTTAGTGTGCCCTAGCTAAACTATGCATAATTTATTCGCCTGGCAATGATTTTAAGATAATGATATTCATCTCGTAGGCACCTCGTTTGTAATTTCTTTTAAATGTAAGTTTCAATGAAGTTATTTTGAAAATTTTAGGTTGGACGTTTTTAACAAAAAACAAAAATCCGAAAAAAATTTCGATAAAACATACTTATGTGGGTTGGAATCTTTCAGATAAATAAATAATGTCATATTTTTATAAAAATTTTAATGATCCAAAGAAACAAAATTACAATGATTTTCTTATGTAAATGTAAATTTAAAAAAGTTTTAATTATTGTGGGTATCTACCTCAAAATCTAGAACTGGAACATTAAATCCATCAACGTCTTCGACTACATTAGCACTTGTAAAATTTTCATAAAACGGTTTAGCGTCTGAAGGAATTAGATGTAAATAGCTTTTAATATCGTTAATTTTATCCTCTGACAGGGGTTTACCATTGGGCCAGAGTTGCATAAGCAGCGCCGAAAAGCTCTCTGTATTTAATCGTCCTCGTCGTCAATATCCAAACATACACTTTCATCGCCAAAATAACTAGGTTTCATAAAGATGTGGTAAGGATTTTCTTTTGTTAATATAATTTGTTTTGTCTCCAACCAATTTATTTTTTCTTTATTGGTGCCAACTTTTCTGTTTATTGTGGCCTTCTCGAGCTGGTGGGTACTCAAAAACCATTCCTTTTTCATTTGTGTAGCTGTTATTGGAGACTTTTTACGACATGAATTTATTATATTTATATAGTCTAAAGGTGTATATATTCGTTCTTGACGTTTGAGTTGACATTCTATATCCCCAAAATCTTTATCATTTGGTAGAAAACTATGGCCGGAAATCAGGAATTTAAATGTTATAGTTTTTATATTATGGCTGGTTTGAAGAAGACTGGCCATGAGGAGTGTTATTTTAATATTACGGTTCTGGCCTCCACAAGAATCAGACCACAATATAAGATGTTCAACAGTACTTTCTATGTTTTCTAAATATTTTACAATACAGGAACCAACCTCCTGAGCTCCTCTTCCAGCAGTTCCTTCAAGCCATACATAGGAATAACTCTTATTACGTTTGCCTGAAAATACACCGAGATTATACAAGCAAACTTGCCTCTTATAATATATTACATTGGTTGGAATTTTGGGTAAAGGTAGAGTTTTTTGAAGATCGTATGTTAAACACTCTACATTATCCTCATCTTTAGCTCGTTTTAAATCTGCCTTTAATGTTTCTCGTGATTTTGGGCCAAATCCTGATGAGTGTCGAGTTCAATTTGTAAAGTTGCTTTTTATGATCATCCGTTTCATTTTCTAGTTTTATTTTAAATGAATCACATACCTGGCATGTGTCCTTCTTGGGAACATTAAATCTCAAATTAAATTTTTCGTAAAAAATCCTCTTATAAATACCAAATTTCACAGGTTTTGAACTTCAGATTTGTATAGATCATAAATCTTTAATAATGAGAGATGTGCCGGTAAAATAATGCAGACGTGTTTTCACGACAGTAGTGCGATATGTACTTAGGCAGTTTATTGATCTGGTTGATTATTTCCTGAATTTATTTTCAGGGACTTTGTTTAAACCACCTTGTTTTCTACCTCTTTGATCAAGAATTGGAGCACGATTGTTTACCTTTCTCAGAGCTGTTGTTACTCTTGACGGAGTTATTCTAAGACTATTGATAAACATTTGCTACAAATACGCTGATTAAGTAAGGAATATTGTCTGGAATACAGACGTCTTTCAGTGTTTCTTCCATACATTCTTTTTTTCGGCATTTCGTGGATATTATTGGCAATAAAGATAGTTTGGGCATTATAAGACCCAAGACTCAAAAAACGATCAAATTCTTGTTTTCGTGACTCTGTAGAAATCAACTCAGAACATTTCATCGGGCAGTTACAATTGTAGTCATATTGAAATTCTTTAGCAGCTTTCAATTTTCCTTTGTAGTCAATGTAAGATTCATTTTTGTTCCTATTAATCTTTGATGTTGCTCGCGTCATTGCAAATTTCTTTTTTCTACCCTTCTTTGGACGACCTGATGTACTGGCTAAAAATGGATTATCATCACAACTTTCATTGTTATCGGAACTCTCTTCATGTGACGATGGTATAAAACATATCAGAGGAACCGCTACTAAAGACATCACTTATTGACATATTCTGTAAGAATAAAAAGGTAGGTATTATTAGATAATATTTTAAATAAAAATTTCAAAAAAATTATAGAAAGCGTCTATTTTAATTAAAGAAGTTAACTTTTAATCAATTACCAGGTACCAAAAAATAAAACAAATTCAATTCATTCAAATTAATCTTTTTCATAAAGTTTACTATAGGTACTCATCGAAAAATAATTTTCATATGCTTTACATTATTGTATAATTACTTTAATCAATAATAATTGATGATCATAATAATAGGTATCAATTTAACATTGGTATAATAAGATTAATACATATGTGTTTACAAAATTGTGTGTACCTAAGGAAGTTGTATTTTTTTCTTTTAGATTGTAACAATAGGTACATCAAAGTTTAGTTTTCATTAAATAGAAATAATATAGCGAATAGCATTATAAAGCATTTTACTAAACAGTATAGGTACAAAGATTTAATACTTACATCATAATCATCAACAGAATCTATGGTAGAAGCTGATTCAAAACATCCAGTTTTCTCGTTTAAAACCATTTCACGAATACGACTATTGGATGACGATGGTTCGCTGTGACGGTAGAATTCTGTCACATTGGTATCATCCATATTCTACAATATATTTAAATTATGTAATGATGTATAAAATGCATTTATTTTAAAAATTTAGTAAACAACATAAACTTTTAGAAGCCGTGTCTTATAAACTGATTATTTTTTTCGTGATTTTCGGCCAGATTAAAGAAATACCACAAAACTCTATTTTCTTCTATTTTCTTTATTTTTTTTTTAAGATTTAGTAACAAAATAAATTGAAACGTCGTAAAAAAAAGAGAGTTTTGTGTTATTTCTTCAATCTGGCCGAAAACCACGAAAAAATAATCAGTAAACAACATATTAGTTATTTTTTAATAAAAAATTTCGACTTACCTCAACATTGGTAATATTTGAATCAAATTCCACGCTAGACATTACACTATTTGTTTGGTTTTCCATAAGTTTTGCTAGCTCACACATGTATTTGCTTCTTTTCGACATAATTATTATTAAATAAGTATTTTTAAACCCGAACAGTCAGAAAAAATCAGACACAACTGAATAAAAAGAAATGTTTATCAATACATAGGCACATTTACTTAAAACTAAAGGAAAGTGATTACTATGCTTAAGATGAGTACCTATAATAAATTAATTTTTATCGACCAAGTTCCAGGGTTTATACGCACAAGGCACGTTTTAAACATTAATAGGGCACATTCCCGTAAATAAAATTTTATTATCGACCGAAATCGAAGATTCAAACTACTTTTAACATATTAATGAAATAGTAAACGTAAAATGATACCAAGTGGTTTGGACGATTTCTGATTATACTCTTATTTTTAACAAGTATACCGAAATTTATAAGTAGAAAACATCCAATTCACTTGGATGTTTTTAACAAAAAAATGCACAGTAGTTTTGTTATCGCATGGAGCGTTAAAGTGATCCAACCCACTTAGCCTGTTTTAACCACTCTTTTAACACGATTACTTAGATCGACATACATTTTTTAGAAAAAATTCACACCACTTGGATTTTTTTTATCAATGAAAATCTCAGTTAACCTAGTTTGTGGGTTAGAACTTTGACGATTATTAAAAGAGTATGTAATGTTTTCACTTGGACGGTTTCTGCATATTATAAAGCAAGAAATTATATGCTCGCTGGTGTAAAGAACTCATTTTTAACAATTTGTGGGTTGGACGTTTCTGCTTAACTACGTCCATATAAAGGATTTACAAATTCGGCGTCTGCTAACTCAATTAGGACACTATTGGTATCTCTTAACCCTTTAATTGGCAAGGGTATAAATACTTACTGAAAAATTAAAATTTGTTCAAATATGTAGCATAAAACAATCATCTTGAAATAATTTCTAGTTTTTTTTTGTTTTCCATTTCATACTTTTTTTTTACAGATTGTATCCTATAGGATACATTGCCCAAAAAGTCAAGATATAACGTTTAGTTAATTTTGAATGTTTAAAATACTTTGCTTGAATTATATAACATCAATAGGGTTAAAAAATAAAAGATTACTACTAATAAATGCTTTAATAAAAATAATTACAATTTAGTTTTATGGTAAGTCATAAAACAGTTCCTTTCAGAGATAATACACAGTCGTGTATTACACTTCTGACACATAAATGTAGTTTGTCCTTTAGGGCACAAACGACACCGACCTTTAGTTGTTGTTAAGGGAAAATGATCAATGTTATCTAGCCTAGTATCGTCGGTCGGCCTAGTAACTACCGGACTTCGGATTTGTTTGTTAGGAAATGACCAAGCAGCTGGGCGACCTATTTTTGCTTTATTTGATTTTAGTAGACTTTGAATAATGTCGTTGCGGAACGTTTTCAATGGAATGATTTTTTTAATGTTCAGTGCATTGCAGTGTCTTCTATAAAGCAGCCATCCATTATTTACACTTATATCGAGCATTTGGGCTAGCAACTTCAGGTACCATCGATGTGACTTTAGGCCAGTTCGATATAAAGACACAAGCATGTCAGCAAGGTCTACGCCTCCCATATGCTTATTATATTCTAAAACTACCTGGGGACATAATACTTAATTTTTTTCTTTTGTTCCTTACAGTATCTTTGAACATGAGATGTTGTTG